TAGTATATAACAATGGCAAGCTTAAACATACCTCCCGACACTGTAAAATGCTTAGAGGCCAGAACAGATCTACTGACTTTTAATCCTTCTTTTTCTTGCCGGCTCTGTCCTGTTTGGGCACAAGCAAGTGGCCCAAAGCTCTTTTGCTTTTTAAAAGTGTTTAGGGATGGGTGCGGTGGCTCATGTCAGCAATCTCAGCACTTTGGGAGGCTGAGGCAGGTGGATGGCTTGAGTCCAGGAGTCCGGGACCAGCCTGGGATGCATGGTGAGACCCTGTCTCTACAAAAAATACAAACCTTAGCCAGACGTGGTGGTGTGCACCTGTAGACCCAGCTACTTGGGATGCTAAGGCAAAAGGATCGCTTAAGCCCAGGAGGCAGAAGTTGCAGTGAGCCAAGATTGCACCACCACACTCCAGTCTGGGTGCTAGAGTGAGACTCTGTCTCAAAATAACAACAACAACTACAACAACACAGAAACAGTGTTCTAAAGGTTAAAGATGTGCTGGTCAGACTTTAAATTCAAATTTTCTTTCAGGCTACTTGTCGAGGAAAATGAAGGATGATTTTGTTGGAAGCCTGAGTTGGTTTCACCCACCACCTGGTGATTCTTCTGGACTTTATATTGCATGGTAATTAAATTAACATAGTTTCACTCTAGAGTGAAACATAGTTTTACTCTAAATCAGGCTATTCCTTTGGAATATGCCAAATACTGGTCATGAATATACTCTGGGGAGTGCTTTGTTGTTATTGTTGGGACTGTTCATCCTTTCATGAATGTAAACTCCAATGATATTTGAGTAGGTGGATGCTCTGCACACAGGCATGTGCTACTTTGTCCCATCCAGGTCTCGTGGTAGTAGAATGTGTGAGAGTTCAAGTTTCCAAACAAACTGTACTAGTGATGATTCTTATGAAGTTGACGATGAAATTAAAATTCTTAATTATAAACCACCAGCATCTCCATTGTCAGGGGCGTGCTGGGATTCTCTGAACAGCTGCGTAATGATCCTCTATGCTTCGGTGGCGTTGGCATGCCTTTGAGTTTGTTCCTTATGCACCATGAGTGTGTTTATTCTCATTCTTATAAAAACTTTTCTTTTTTCCCTGACTGCAAAATATGACCGTGCTTTCATATCAAGGACAGAGACCTCTGATTTTTGGAACAGATCCTTCTTTATGGGACAATTCACCATGGACTCTTCAGTTAAAGAGGATGGGCTCTTTTGTTTTTAGCTCTTTTTTTGTTTTAGTTTTTTTTTTTTAAATTGTTTATTAGTAGGTTTTAGCCTTTGTTTTTAGCTCAGCTAACCCAACTAGTTGCGGATCTTGAATTCGCTTTATCTGCACAGACAACTGAGGGTAAAGCATGTTCCTGGATGCAGGGTGACATTTTTAGGTTTTGATTAGCTGACATATTCTAGTGCCCCATAGAATCACAGGACCGTAGAGTGGCAAAGCCCTTCAGAGTTAATCCACTCAGTTTCCAGCTTGGGTTTCTTGATGCCAGGGATCTGAAAAGATGGTGATGGGAAAGAGAGTAGGCCAGTCCGGGAAACATAGTGAAACCCCATCTCCACAGAAAGTTTAAAAATTAGCTGGGTATTGTGGAGCACACCTGTAGTCCCAGCTACTCAGGAGGCTGAGGTGGGAGGATTGCTTGAGCCTGGGAGGTCGAGGCTGCAGTGAGCCGTGACCATGCCACTGCACTCCAGCTTGAGCAACAGAACAAAACCCTGACACAAACAAACAAACAAACAAACAAACAAACCAAACAAAACAGGAAAGAAAAGAGTGTAGGGATCCAACACTTTTTAAAAGGTAAAAGAAATTGTTTATTTATGACTGATAAGGCTTCCCAGGAGACTTAAATATCGGATTTCTTAGATTTGAGCTGGAATACTACAGCATTGATTATCTCATGGGAAAATCTGTTAGTAAAAACTCAATAAATGCAGTTCAAGAAATAGAAATCTTTTGGAAAAAACGGAGTACATTGCAGAAAGGTAATAACAATCTCCTGTTAATTGCTTTAGTGCAAACCCTTAGCACTGCCTTTGGAAAGCCACAGTGTTGGACATCCGGCCACAGCAGGAAACAGAAGACACAAATCCCCTGATCTTGTGAAGCTGCATTCTGATATGGAAAGACAAAAAATAAATAAATAAACAGGTAAGCAAACAAGGAAATGAATAGCTGAAACTGATACTGCCACTTGAGATTGTGCTAAGGGCTATGAAGAAAATGGCCCAGGAAGACAAGAATGAGGGGACAGGTTAACTTAGATTGGATGATTAGAAAGGCTTTTCTGAGGAGGGATGCTTGTGCTGAGTCCTGAAGGGAAGAAGAAAAGCCACATAGGGAGTAGGAGGGGAATTGAGGTCCAGAATCTGGATTTTGGTAAACCTTTCCAGGAGATGTCACCCCAGAGGCCGGCAGGGGAGCCAGTCAGCTGTGTCCCTCCCAGGCAAGACCCCTGCCCCCACCTTTCTATGCCAGATCTCAATGTGGCTGCAAAACACTGTGGTCACTTTGCTTAGCAAAATGTTATGATTTGACAAAGTAATGATATATGATAACTGTATTTGAAAACCTATAGTTAAAAAAAATATGACAGAAATCAAACTAAAGCCAAAAAGAATTTTTCCAGCAAAGAGACCCTCTAGTGCTAAGACCCCAAGATGGGAACAGGCTTGATCGGTTCAAGAAACAGAAGATTGGAGTAGTTTGAGCTTGCTGTGTCAGGGAGAAAATGGCATGGTATGACCTTAGAGAGGTCAAAGTTAATGTAGTTCGTGCAGGTCCCTGGAGATCTGGCAAAGAGTTTGTGTTGCTACAATGCATGGGGAAAATGTGCAGGGTTGAAGCAGGGCAGGATCAACATCTGATTTACATTTTATATCAATCTCTCTCGCTGCTATATGGAGAATCAATTATAGAAGGACGTGAGGAGAGGCAGGGATATTGTCTGTAGACTTTTACCATCATTTAGGTAAGAAATGGTGATGACTTTTTTTTTTTTTTTGAGACAGAGTTTCGCTCTTGTTACCCAGGCTGGAGTGCAATGGCGCGATCTCGGCTCACCGCAACCTCCGCCTCCTGGGTTCAGGCAATTCTCCTGCCTCAGCCTCCTGAGTAGCTGGGATTACAGGCACGCGCCACCATGCCCGGCTAGTTTTTTGTATTTTTAGTAGAGACGGGGTTTCACCATGTTGACCAGGATGGTCTCGATCTCTTGACCTCGTGATCCACCCACCTCGGCCTCCCAAAGTGCTAGGATTACAGGCTTGAGCCACTGTGCCCGGCTGATGACTTTTTAACTTACAGAAGCAGAGAGTGGAACAGTGGTTGCCAAAGGCTGGGGGAGCTAGAGGTGTTGGTCAAAGGGTATAAACTTTCAGTTGTAAGATGACCAAGTTCTGAAGATTTAAGGTGTAACATGGGTGGTGATGGATGTGTTCATTCATTCTATTATGGTAATCATCACGCAGTGAAAATGCATATGAAATCTTCACGTTGTACACCTTAAATGTATTTGATCTTTACTTGCATTAGGTTGGTGCAAATGTAATAGCAGTTTTTGCATTGTCAACATTTGGCATTTGATACTGAAATACATTCTTAAATAAATGTGATTATGTTATACATCATTTTAATGTGCATTTCTTGCTGTTTTTTGCTAATGACTTATTTGCTGTTTATTTTAGACTATGAAAATAATGTTAGAGAGAATGCTAATTCGAGAGATTTTCTTTTTCCAGTTCAAAATGGGTCTTAAAGCAGCGGAGACAGCTCTCAACACTGACAATGCATTTGGCCCAGGAACTGCTCACAGACTTACCGTGCAGTGGTGGTTCAAGAAGTTTTGCAAAGGAGGTGAGAGCCTTGAAGATGAGGAGTATAGTGGCCAGTGCGGAAGTTGACAATGACCAACTGAGAGCCATCGTGGAAGCTGAGCCTCTTACGTGTTGACCACTCTATAGTCGTTCAGAATTTGAAGGAAATTGGAAAGGTGAAAAATCTTGATAAGTGGGTTCATTGTGAGCTAAGTGAAAATTTAAAAAATCAACGTTTTTGAAATGTTGTCTTCTTTTATTCTACGCAACAACGAACCATTTCTTGATTGGATTGTGACGTGCCGCAAAATGTAGACTTTATACAACAACGGGCGACGACCAGCTCAGTGGCTGGACTGAGTAGAAGCCCCAGAGCATTTCAAGTTAAACTTGCACCAGAAAAAAGGTCATGGTCACTGTGTGGTGGTCTGCTGCTGGTCTGATCTGCTGCAGCTTTCTGAATCCTGATGGAACTATTACATCTGAGAGATATTCTCAACAAATCAATGCAACGTGCTGAATACTGCCACACCTGTGGCACCGGTCAGCAGAAAGTGCCCGGTTATTCTCCAAGACAACGCACGACTGTACATTGCAAAACCAGCACTTCAAAAGTTGAACAAATCAGCCTACGAAGATTTGCCTCATCTGAGTATTCACCTGACCTCTCGCCAACTGACTACCACTTCTTCAAGCATCTCAACAACTTTTTGCAATGAAACGCTTCCACAACCAGCAAGATGCAGAACATGCTTTCCAAGAGTTTGTCAAATCCCAAAGCATAGATTTTTATGTGACAGGAAATAAACAAACTTATTTCTTATTGGCAAAACTGTGTTGATTGTAATGGTTCCTATTTTGATTGATAAAGATGTGTTTAAGCCTAGTTATAATGATTTAAAATTCATGGTCCCAAACTGCAATTACTTTTGCACCAATTTATAAATTTTAAATAAAAAGAAACGATGATGACCTGGACTATTTGGGTGGGAGGCAGCAGAGGAGGACAAAAGGTTGGATGCTGGGTTCTTTCAAGATGGAGTTGGCAGGATCAGCCAAATCTACCCCCTGCAGCAGCCACTGCAGGTGGTCACATAAGAGAAAGGATTACAGAAAACACAGTGATGATATTATAGAGACAAACTTATATGTCAAAATATAAACGTTCCTGAGGAGCTATTGCGGTGGTGATAAGGAATGCCAATTTAATTAGTATGGTGCTCGTGGCAGGTATATCCGGAAGTGTGCTACAGCAGCAAAGAGCGCTGTGCTTTTGCTTTTATCTCCTGGAGAGCTTGAAATTCTTCCTGCTTCCCTTCGCCAAAGAAGTCTCTAATTCTCCCTGTACTTTCCTCCCTGGTAAGTCATCACCATGATAGCACACACACGCAGGGCAGTCTTTGTGACGGTGGTAACGACAACAACTCTCCCCGGATGGTAACTGACAAGTGTGCAATCTGTCCAGACAGGTGGTTATCGGAAGTAAAAGAGAGTCTAGTTTGGTTCCAGTGACTCAGATCCCAAGGCGTGGAGGACTCTGTCCAGCCTCACGTCTCAGGTCTGTTTTTACCTACCGATTTCTGCGGGACAACTGCAAAGTCTATATTCTTGAGTCCTACTCTTCTTCTTCCCATTTGAAGCCAAGCTATTCTTCCTGAACACCAGAGCAATGTTTCTGCTGGGCTCTCGATTCTAGTCCCAGCTCTAGCAGAGCTCCCAGTTAAACATCTCTGACCCAAAAATTAGGTCTCTTCTGATGCTCAGCTTCCACGGAAATAAAAATTAAGTCTCCCTTTTGGAACTGTCCTCTGTTCTCTGCTTGTATTCCCGTTTAAGCTGTTGTTCACTAGATTCTAAGCCATCTGGTTTTTCCTGAAGGAATACAAAGAGTATCTTTTGTTTAGTCATTAAAATGTAACCCTTAATAATCAGTGACAGTCATTTAACAGACATACATAATGTACCATGTACTGTGTCTAGATGAAAACTTGCCTAAGTAAGCCATTTGATCCAAACTTTCTGTGCAACTGGATTGTGACCACCGTAATTCTTGGGGATCTCTATTTATTTTGACAACACCTAGATGGTTTCTTTAACTCCAACCTTTGCAAAAATAAGAAAAGGATTAATTAAAAATTACTGGGCCTAGAGAAGGCATAGAAATGAATTTTTTAAGACTGGGTGAGAAATCACAAATGTAAAAGTAATGCATCCTCACTAGAAAAATGTCAAAGGACATAAAGCCAGAAAAACAAATCCCACCTCTAACCCCAACCCTAACCCCTACCACCAACCCCAACTCCTGTCAGTATTGTTTTCTACATTTGTTTTAGATAATAGAATTCACACTATATTTAAAATTTGGAATCTTGACTTTTTTTTTCACTAGCATAAACACTACACCAACATCACAAGTCTTTGTAAATATCATAGTGAATGGATGCGTATTTTTCCACTGTAAGGCTATGTCACAACATGTAACTGTTTTTTAAAAAACACTCCACCCATTTAACATTTTTACCCAAGTTGGAATAGGTACTTGAATATGACCTTCACATACCCTTTCTTACCAAACTCAGCTTCTTGGGAAACTGATAAAAGCAATTGTCCAAAGTCCGGGTATATTCAGGAAGAAAAAGAAAAAGCCCATAAATGACGTAAATAATTCTCAAATACAGCTGAATGTAATTACTAAGAAAGTAAATACTTTTAAGAATTCCAGCTCAGTCTAATATCATTTAGACCCCAGGCCTTTGGGCTCTTGGCAATTGACACGAATGTATATTTTGAATATATATACAATAGAACAAATACATTTATAAAATTGGTGATTTATGTTTCTACCTGTAAAAATCCTTCATGCCATGTATCATTTTTTTCAATTAAAGTGTATTAAACTTGATTTAGGGTTGTTTGTTGAAGGAATTTCACAATATTTTTGAGGTGGCAGGAGGCACCCTGGAATATTACAAACTAGCGTCCTGAAACTCTTGTTAAAGTGATGTTTATATTATGTTTTACATGTCAGGGACAACATTCCTCTTCTGTTTTGATGGAGCAACAGTTTTGAGGAACCAACAGGGGAAAGTGTCATTGTTTGCCTGTCTGATTTGAAAGTTTCTATTTTCATGGCACGAAATCCATTTAAATGTCGTTATAAAGCAGTTTTAGTTATTACATTCTAGTGATGGAGGGGTTTGTAATGTATTCATAGAAATAATTAAAAGTTCATAACAGTGCTCTTTTTCACGATTTCTGAAAACAGCATTCTTTTAAACTATAAAAGCTCAGAACCCTCCTATTACCTTTGATTGATCCCCTGAAATGCCCTCAATTTCAAGCAGTAAAGCACATTGAGGATTTAGAGAACCCAAAGGAAAGTTCAAAGAGGTTGATTGAGCTGAGCAGTTAGAATCAGAGGTTTCCTTTTGAAAATGCATCACCTTGAAGAACATTCAGCTAAAAATCTTGACAAAAAATTGAGATAGCCGGAGGGCCAGAGCATTTAGGTGGGATAGATTTTCCCCCCTAATTTTTACACAGCTTGGCATAGAGTCCCAGGAAGGAACTCTTAAAGCACACAGGGTCAAGGCCGCCAAATCAGCGCAATTCCCGTCGCCGGGGAGTTGACTTTAAATTTATCCCGTCTTCGTTTCAGGAAGGAAAATTCTTTTCCTGCAAAACCTGCCCCCACTCCCACCATCAGATTTCCTCAATTTGTAGAAACTGTATCAGCGTTTTGTGAAGGAGAAAGAGCTCTGAAACAAAGGGCTACATTTGCTTTGAAGGTCTGGCAGGGACAAAGCAGGATTCTTTTTCTCCCTGGAGGATCAGATGGCAGCAATACAAGATAGAAGCATGTGAGTGAGGGGCACAAAAGATAAATTTAAAGGACACAGTTTAGCCTTTCTCAAGAGGAAGGAGGTCTTATTTTTAGTTTTATATTCTCCAGGTTAGCAAAACATGCTTCTCCTACTGATTTTGTCCTTTTCCGTCCTGGTGGTTTTGATTTACAACATCAACTCGGATACTTGCTTGCTCTGCCTATGCATCTCCGTGCTTGATTCATCCACCCTTGTTGCTACGACTCTGTGAACAGAGGCAGTGGCAGGTTTGCTCTCCTTCTTTCAGCAATGTGGAATATTGGATTTTTGTTTGTTAGTTTTCTTAGGGTGTAATCTCCCAAACATCCTGGTAAATTTAAAGAGAAAATCAAATGTAAAGGAGTACTGAAACTGTGGTCATGCTCCAATCTCGACCATATTGCTTTGAGGCACATTCTGCTCAGTCCATCTCCATACCTTACATTCCCCTCCACCGACACCAAATTACTCTTTACACATTAATCATCAATGCTGTCAAAATAAGAGTCCAATTAGAGCGATCTTTCTTGATTCTTTTTTTCTTAAAATTAACACTAAGCCGAAAGACCAACCCTCAGATTAGCAAATAAAGATCTATCTGCTTTGAGCAAACCTAATGGATTAAATTCCAGATTTGCAAAACCCATGCATTAGGAAGTAATTATTGGCTTTGTAAGAGAATCCTTTACTTTGCAATGGAGCAACTAGAGGATTTGTTTGAAAGCTCTATTGCATTTAAAATAACTTGGCTTACCTACCTTTAATTTATACCAAGAGCCCTTCTACTGTAAAGCCAGCAATGCCCTGCAAATGGCGGAAGATTCTAACCACTTACTAAAGAAAGCCTGAAAGATACTGTTGCAACTTTTACAGAGATCAATGGGCTGAGCAGAAGCTTCTTTAAGAATTATTGAAAAGCAGACATCTACTACATGTGCACTCAAACATCTCAACTTTGGAGATGCAGTATGGTTTATCAGTCAATGAAGGCCTGTTTGACATGGGAAGGTAATTATAAACAGCAAACATGAGATTTTTGCCGAAATAATGTGATTACTAAAGTATATAAATAAGAATGTATTCTAATGCAGAATGTTGAGATAGGTAAGAGTTATAGGGAGGGTCCAGTAGAATCTAAAAATTGAATGTTTTCAAATAGTCCCCAATGTCATTTAAACTCATTTAAATGAGAAAACACAGGATAAGTGAGTTAACGAAAAATTGAGGATACTCAGTAAACCTGTATCACTGCAGATTACAACTTAATTACACAGTTTTCTTAAAAATAGTGAATCAACATTTTTGATTACCGCATGCCCAGTGTACTGGGCATTTTCTCCCTATTTGATTGAACTCAAGTCATAAATTAATGGATCTGCACAATTTAAACCAAGGTTTAAAGATAACCCTTACTTAAATATAGAATTAGAAGTAAAATCATACTTTTTTTAGACTGGATTTTTCTTTCTACTGGCAAGAATTTTACACTTGCAAAGTGACAAATTAGTTTGAACTCATGCATCATTAAATATTGACTTTAGTGCATCTAAATTATTGCTCATTTTATGAAAAGATTAGAATTAGACGTTGTAGATGCGTAATATGGCTTGGAAGTAAGATTAAAACCTCATTTCATGTTCACTTATTTCCCTCTAATAGCTTTTTAGTGGACATAACTCACTTTCCTTCCCTTTCCTTCCGCATCCTGGATTTGGCTGGAAAAGAAGACGTTTGCAGGTCACCCCTATGCTGTAACCTGAGCGGCTTTCCCACTTGTAGGGAAGTAAGAAGGAGCACACATCAGAGTCCTTTTCCTTTTAACTAGTGCTGAATGCCTCAAAACAGAGAATTCACAAAAGAACAGGATTAAGTTCTGACCTAAATAACTGCCTTTAGCAGTTCTGCACACTCTCTGAAGTTGGCATGGCGCACGTATCCCCCACTGAACCTGTCCTGTTCTTACACCTCTCTACCCACCTAATTTCTTATTCACCTGAGCTCTATTTTTAGACATGTAGGTCATTATTTCAAGGACTGATTTATAGCGTGACATCACTGTTAATTATCTTCCGTTGGCATTGTTCTGTGATTGTTTCATCCATTCTGCCTTGTCTCCCACAAGACTATCAGTTAATTGTGGCAGTCACGGCACGAGATGCCTTGTCCTCCCTGACAACACCTAGGAGAGGGCTGATAGCCAACCAGTGTTCTTCTGTTTCTCAACTCTGTGTGTGTCCAGGGATTCTGAGCTCAAGGTTCATTCTAATTTGGTGAGCTTACTAGGTAAGGGCTTAGAACAACAACCATAATTAAAGTGAAAATAAGAAGAGAGAAAAGTAGCTTAAGACATATATATAGAGATAGTGTGATACCCTGCTTTTTGCCAGCTAAAACGAACTCTCCTTTTCCTGACTAAAAGCTGTGCAGGCTTTATGTTAGCCTTTTTGAGCTGAACAGACACCATCTTGGCTTCCACATTTTAGTAACCTTTTCCCCGTTAAGTATGTAACTATAGTATAAAGCACGGTCAGACTGACTCTGGGCACCCAGAAGTGTCTTTGTTGATAAGAGGCCGAGTAAAGTGGTATCAGCTTAGCCTGGGAACGCGGCTGCAGTGAGCGCCCGGAGCCCGCCTTATCTGTAAGTTGTATGTCTTTCATGACAGCTGTGCTCCTCACACTGGCACTGTTGTATTCCTTATGTATCAGTTTTTCTTTTTAACTTTTTGCTTACTCTGCCTTTGTGAAAACTTTGTTTCAGCTAGGTTTCCCCCCTTCCTCTTAAAACTAGTGGATAAAAGACCACCTAACTTTTTCTTCGGGGCCGAGAGAAGTTTGGGCGTTAGCCACTCTCGGTCGGTGGCTTAATAAAGGACTCATAATTCATCCTCAGAGTGTGGCGCATTCCTTGACTCGCTCGGGTACAACAATAGGTATGTTTTTTATTGTGGGTAACTTAACTTTCTTTTTTTTTTTTCCGAGACAGAGAGAGTCTTGCTCCGTTGCCAGG